GCTTAAGACCCATGCACAAACTGGAACGCCTTAGGATCAGCGTCTCCTGGGTGCTGTTCCTCAAGATGCGGGTCCCTGACCACATCAGGCTGTCTTCCTGCACTAAGAAGGCAAGAAGCTAAAGCAGGCCGGGGAAAGACGGCGGGGATCGCTGTGGCAACGACGGCGCACGCGCCGGACCCTCGGCCTCACCTAGGGCCTGGAGAGGTCAGAGGAGACCGCTCTTCCTATGCCGCTGTACCCACTCCCTTCCCTCGAGTTGCCCGATTGGAATGGTTGCTTTTGATCCCATTTGTTAGCAAACCTGGCATTTGTTTTCCATTTTATAAACGCTTCCCTTTAAGTAATTGTCCCCCGTTAACGGCGTACACCTTTCAGCAGCCCTCACTGCGCTATAAATAATCTCGATGAAGATGCAAAGGATATGACTTTCACAAGATTGGACAATTGATTCAATCTGTGACCCGCGATCGCGAATAATATTGGAAGGCTATTTAAACAGATGAAGGCCTAAATTGTCTTGCTTGTATCTGAATTAATTTCTCATTCATCATCATTATGAAGTGATTGGTCTATTCAAGATCTTCAGCCTGCTGGAACCGAGCAGGATTTAAATGAGATTGTAACACAATTTAAATGCTTGCCGACTTTAACGAGGCCAATTGAGCAGCTGCAATAAATACAAATATTTTTCTAAACAGCCTTGTTTTAAATAATTACTTAATGCTTTCATGTTATTTTTAAGTGGCAATCTTTCTCCTGCACAGAATATCACATACTTACTTGCTGAGAAGGCAATTTTGGAAATGACTTCCTGTTTGTTTGCTTTGTAATGAGATGGGTTTTACCGTTAGGGTTTGCTTTTTGTTTTTTCCTAGGGTCAACATTTCCAGGGTTCCATGCATTGGGCAAATGGTGAACTTGACCTTAGTTTTGCTGTATTGTACTCTGATGTGCCCCTCAGACTCTGGGAGGACAGGAGTGATGGCAGAAAACTGCAGATGCATCTGTTCTCAAACCCAGACCTGTTTTAGCTGGGAACTGCAAACGAACCTGTGCAGCTGCACTTACAAATGACATCCTGAAGAATGACATCCTTTCTGATTTGTCCTGATGACTGTCATCATCTTAAACAAATCAGAATTCCAGCATATCCCAAAGGTGTTCCTCAGAAAGTTCAATCTTCAGGCAGTTTGGCTCTCCAGCAAGTTGACGGGAATAAATAGAGAAGACTGAGGATTTCTTTGTTTGGAGGACTGCACAGAAAGAGAAGGCTTCTGCAGCTAATGGCTAGGGGTGGAGATAATTAGAAAAAATCCCCTTTTTGCCCCAACCTTATTTTCTGCCCCCATTCCCTCCCACCAAAGTGCAGGGAAGGATGCTCAGTACAAAAAGCTCTTCCCACTTGGAGTATGCCATCCCTCTGGACAGCTTCCACAACTGTCCACTGTGACACCCATGCTCTCCGGAGGACATATGGTGGCGGGTGTTTCCTTGGTTGGAGAATAATAGAAGCAATGGAGCAGGAGAAGCCTGGGGAACAAAGGGATCTTTAAACTTTCCTGAAAACATTGGGCATAGAGGAGACTTACTGTGGGGACCCAAGGCTTCCATTTTGGGGTGACTGTCCATGTCTATGCCCCTCTGAGAGCTTGAATGAGAGGGTTTATGCTGAATCTTTTCTCCCCCTGCCTAGAGTGTAGAGAACTCCATGCCTGGCATTTCCTTGTAGGTTCAGACCTAGGAAGGAGGAGCTGATAATAGTAACTAGAGAAACCACTGGCAGTGCATACCGTGCAATCAAACTGCAGACCAGGAAGGTGGGGGGGGAGGAAGAGAGTGGAAGAATCAAGTGATTTGCTATGTAACTGGGCAATTTAATACCAGAGTTAGGGAGCTGGTGGCCAGAATCATTTCGTCTTCGAGGCTTTGCCAAGCTCATCCGCTTTATCCTGTTGTTTAAAATGAGCATTATCCCAAACATATGCAATGCAATCAGTTTGGTCACACTTACAAGAACACGCTTTAATAAGGCAATCAATCACTCACTAACAAGCCAGCGACAGCAGGGCCTTGCGTGCACTTGGGCTATAGGGTGGCTAGTCTTGCAGGTCTAGGCAAACCCAGGCTAGGCACTGGACCTTATTACCAGGCCCCACAGGTCCTGCCAGGACTCAGGACCTGAGGGGAAATGAATGGGAAGTGAGATGTTAAACTTTGGGGAATGATCTTGAACTCGGCCCCAAAGCTGTCTTGGAAGGAGGAAAGGAGAATCTGAAGTTTATGGATTCATCCTAGCCACAATTTGCTGTGAACAGCCCAGTACCCATTTTCAGACCTGCAAAATGGGACCTAGATAGGACGCAGCTAAAAGGAGACTCTCAGAAGTTAAAAAATGAAAATAGCACCATGTCAGGCCCTTTACCTGGTCTGTCCTCCTTCTACAGATAGAAATTGCAGCTAGAGATGGACAGTGTCTTCATGACTATCTCCAACCCAAGTGGGGGACTTCAAGACAAATGGGGTGGCCTGGTCCAGATGAGCTAAGCCAAATTTGGGGTGGGAGGTGCAGTATGAGAAGTGGTGCCTACCACCAAACCGCAAACCTTGGCAAAAGGGAAATTTCATTATGAAATAATGAGTAATTCCTCCTGGCAAGATGTATTGTTATATCTTCCACTTCAATTTGGAGGAAGAGAGGCTCAATTACCCAGAAAATACAGTCAATTAAAGGCTGCTGATTGGACACGAGGCCGGATCATCGATCTTGTACTTTCCAATATCGCTGCAGACACCTCATTTTCCCTCCCTATTAACTGAAAATACGCCTGGCATTAAGGCAACCCGCAGCCCATTTACCTGTCGCAAGCAATCTCTGCCCGATGCAGAGCAACCGCGAAATTTGCTGGGATTTGGCACTTAGGAGCTTCTGGCAGAGAAGGGCACTGTGAGGGGCCTAGGGGTGTGGGTAGAGTGGGAGTGTGACTGCTGGAAGCCTCTGGAGCAAGGTACCACACAGGGCCCCTGTATGCAAGGGGCTATTGAGGAGGCCCCACCTGCCCATGGAGGCGCCAGCAGAGAACCCCCCCCTGCAGCGCAATGCAAAACCTGCTAGCCTCCCCAAGGTTAGCCAAGGCAGGCACTTCTGAATCAGTCACCTTGGTTCTAAGAGGCCAGAGGCATCATCTGCTAAGCTCTGCCTGAAGCCTTGCCCTGAAATCCCAGAATTCCATCCTCCAGACTTCTAGTGTGAGTACTGATCACAGCGAGGTTATCCCAACCCTCCTGTCCTCTCCCCCTATGATCTGATGAAGCTTCAACTCCACCAGCCAACCACCACTCTCTGCAGTGGTCCAGCTCCTCTGTCATTGCCCATTTACCTTACCTGGAGTTGGGCTGGAGATAGGCCTCAAAGACACTGCAGCCTGGATTACCTTTTGGAGCAACTGGAGGATCCATATTAGAGGGGTGAGCTCCAGACAGACTCAACACTTTAGGAGGTCAATCTGTCTATGGCAAATACCCAATGTTCTCAGAACTAAGCAAGCATGCACCCAAGGCATCCGTAAGACAGCCTTCTATCTCCCTGCAAAATCTGTTTGGACCTTGCCAATGCCCAACAGGGACCGAGACCCCTTTGTGAGTTCATTGTTTTTATTCCTTCCCTACCACGCTCATGGTGGCTAAACCAGCAATTCAAAACCAGTTAACAGTGCTACCTGCTGAAAAAAATCTATACAGATATATATGTAAATGCTAAAGTGAGAATTGTGTTCCGCTTTTATTGCAATATGGTGAACAAATCATAACAGCAAATTCTTTGGGCTGCAAAGGAAACCCTAAACCAAATTCATTCCCTACAGGAAGAACCACTCCCTCTGAGTTGGGGTGAGGATTGCATTGGGGGATGAAAGTTGTCCTTTTCCTCAAAAACTGGCTGTAAGGAGTTGTGCAGGAGTGAGGGTTCAGAGTGATTCCCAAACAAACCCCAGCAAAGGGTAGAGTCAGGGTCCTCCAGAAGAGCTGAAGGTTCTCACTGGCATCTGAAAGCCAAGCTCCTGTGGCAATTGGGGGAGAAAAATGACAGAAGGGTGCAAGAAGTCCCCACTCCTTAAGCTCTTCCCAGGGCGCCTTGTTACCAGCTCAGCTCTGGGCTTGGTGACCTGACAGAGTGGTGATCATTATTATACATACATTCAACAATCAAAAACCCTCCTCACACATCACTTACTAATCAGGGTGTGTGCTGGGCTAAAGGGGAAGAGGCTTTGCCTCAGAGAAGCTGCCTAGGGACCTTGGAGCCCCAGCAGATTCGTTGCCAATGTTGAACAGAATGGGGGATGGCTGAAGTTGCAAGTTGAGAGATGTCACAAAAGCAGGAGTGTGAAAAGAGATCAGGTGCTTGTAGATGCTGGAACCCAAAGATGCTATGAATTGAAGCTCTGGGAAGGTGAGACAGCCCCCCCAGGTTCCTTGCCAAGAGGCAAGATTCTTCCTGGCAGTAAATCATCTCTCATACTCTCCCCTAAATGGCTGGTATGTTGCTGTCCACAAGCCCCCGCTCCCATGCTTTAGAAAAGCTGGTGAAGATTAATCTCTACCTGCTCTGCATACACAGCATTTTGTTCCAAGAGACAGCCATTTCCCTTTTCCAGTGCTTGGCCTTGACAGGAGAGTGGGGACCCTGGTGAGGGGGTGTGAGTTGGAAAGTGTGGACTGCTGTTGCTGATGAGTTTTCTTTAGCTGTGGAGCTATGGCTTCAGCCTCGGTCAGGGTGACCGGTTCGGTGGAGACTGGCAAAGACCAGCCACTTCAGAGGAAGTTCTCTCTACCTCAGCTTTCCCACCCCTCCTCTTGCTCCCAAACAGGACCGCCACTGCTCCTTTGTGAACCCCTCCTGTCTTCCCTGTGTCTAGGGTGAAGGAGGCGGGTGGGACTCCTGCCGAGTCGCGAAGGCCCCCCGTTGGGTGTCCTGGGGCCGGCAGCTCGAGGGCAACCCCTTATCTAGTGAGGGGCACCTCCTCCCTCTGGTCCAACGCGACGGAGGAGGCCTTGCTGAGCACCGAGGGCGCGAATGTGAGGAAGGAGTCTGAGCGGGAGGTGGAGGCACAAGTGAAGTCCGAGGCGGCAGCGGCCCGAGGCGCCAGCCCGTTGGCCGGGCCGCTATGGCAGGCAAGGCAGGAGCAGGGGCCACCGGCCGAGGCGCCCAGTCCGTGCGCCGGCCCGGGGTACAGGGGCGGGTGGCGGAAGGCGCACAGCAGTTCGGGTCGCGGGTAGGGCTGCGAGAGCACGCGGAAGGTGTCGAGCGGGCGCAGCGGGCCGCTGAAGGGCGAGGCGGAGGCGGCGGAGGCGGCGCCCAGGCCCACCGGCGAGTAGTAGGGCAGGGGCAGGTGCGACGGGAAGGGGTAGGGCAGGCCGCCCGCGGCCGCCGCGTGACTCATCATGTACGTGTAGAAAGCGGGGTCAGCCGGGTGCGGCCACGTCATGGCCAGCCGCTGGCGCTTGTCCTTCATGCGTCGGTTCTGGAACCACACCTGTGCAGAGGACAGGAGCAGGTTGGACCGCTGCTAGGCTCAGGGTCCAGCCTAGAAGCCATGCCCTACTGGGGGGTGGGAGGGTAGGCCCACAGTGCAGCGAAGAGCTAAAGCCAGCACAGGCTGGGTGACCGCAGACCTCCCACCTAGCGCTGGAAACCCTCCGGAGGAGATTCCGGGGGCCACTCCTTCCTCCGCCCACGTGGCACGCGCCACAGCCGGGAGAGAGCCTGCAAGCCACAGGGACTGTCGGAGGAGGCAGGAGGCATTTCCCTAGATTCCTGTCCTCTTCCCCGGCCATCCCTGGCCTTCGGGACACTTCCTTGTCACTCGCAGTCACCTATCACTGTAGTCTATTCATTTACCTAGGAAAAGGACAGCAGTGCGGCCTAGGCACTGTCAGAGGGGGACTCCGCACGACGGGCAGCCGAGGCCCAGACTCCCCGGACGCAATTTAGAGAGTGTGCAGTTGGTATTTCCTTCCTGCTACGTGGGTATATACCCGCCTCCCGCGTACCTTGATGGTAGTTTCCGGAAGATTTAGGGCTGCTGCCAGCTCGCATCTCCGCGGCCTTGATACGTAGTTCTCCCTGTAGAATTCCTTCTCTAGCCGCGCAATCTGCTCTCGGGTGAAAGCGGTACGGTACCGGCGCATCTGGTCGCTGGCGCTGCAGGCCAGGGTGCCTTGTGAGCTGCTGCTGCCGCCACCACCGTTACTCTTGGGGACCTCACTGCCGCTGTTAGGACTGCCTCCCAGTGCCTCGGAACCTGACCCTGCACAGGAGCCCAAAGCACACACGTGCACACACAGAGACACAACAGACACAAAAACAATGCTGACGTTGGTTTGGGGGGGTGTTGTTAAGAAGGATGTACGCCTTAGCGACCTCAGTCATTGTCTCTGCTGAGGCTCTGGGAACTGCAGAAGGACACAGTCTTAGTGATGGGAACAGAAAGGGTTTGGAGTAGGCCTGATCTAGCTGTTTTGGAAGACCTGGGTCTAAGGCTCACTGGATCCAGAGGCTCTCAATTCCCTTTCTATCTGCCCCTGAGCTTTCTGGCTGGTTATTGGCAGTGGTGGGCAAGAGTGTGCAGGTCAGGTGAGCAAGTGAATTGAGATACCTTTGTGCTAGAGCACTGTGAATACATTGTAGGATGCTGGGCATGCAGTGAGTTTCCTTGCTCTTGTGTGTGCCAGAATGCCAGCACAGGTGTGGGAATGTGTGTTAGGTTGCGTGTTCTGTATTTGAGTGGAGTATAGGTTGTTATGGGGACATGTGATGGCAGGGCCTGGGTTAAGCAGATGACAAGATGGTATGGGGTTGGGGTGGGTGGTGCTGGCTGCCAAGGCCAAGAGATGGTTGCGGGCTCTTCCTACCCATTCCCACAGCTTTGTAGAGGAGTGTCTACTAATGGGCTCTTGTTCCCAGGTTTTCACCCCTGGTGGATACTGTTGGTATACAGGGCAACTCCCTTTCAAGCCATCCCCACCCCCCATTAGCCCCTGATGGGAAGGGGTTCTACAGTTAAAATACCATCCCCTTAGGCCTACTACAGAGAAGGGTGGGGCTCAGCCCCCTGCAGTGTCTTTTCCTTTGGGTGGAGAAGTGAGACTGAATCAAGGGAGGAGGGGGAGGACCCAATCCCCGGCCTTTTCAAATGCAACCGGAGACCAAAGGCAATTAGACCGTTGGGACCATTTCCGACCTGGCGCCGCCAAGCCCGGGAAGTGACAAGGTAATTTGGACCTCTGACCGACGTGCAAACTGGTCCGAGGGCTGCAGCACTCGGTCGGCCTGGGTTCGTCACGATTTTACCGTCCTTTATAGACTCTTGGCTTCCACGCCTCCTTGTGCCTCGCACCCCTCCAGCCACAAACTGGCTGGACTCACGTTTGATCTTGATCAACCCAAGGGAAGGTGTCTTCCCTGGCTCAGCTGAATCATTCTCACAAAACACTGGGGGATTCGGGGACTCTTTGAATCCCTCCAACCCTGGACTTGTGTCTCCCCTGACACACACCTCGACACAGCTGTCACCCTCAGTCCCACCAATGCTATAACAGAGGAGACCCCCACCAGGGTGCAGATAGCGAGAGTTCTTCAGGTCCCGTGTCCCCCCCCCCCCCCCCGCCTCCTCAACCATCCTGCCCTGTGGGAAAGGAGTGTCTTCCACCTGGCCAGAGACGAAGTGAAGGATGGGCGCAGTGGGAGGATCAGGGAGCGGAGGGGCGCGGTGGCTACCTTTGCTGTGCTGGTACTCGGCGTTCCCGGTGGCGCAGTCCGGGGTGCAGCTCACCTCGATTTCTTCATAGAAATCCGACTCGGTGTCTGAGCTACTAGGTTGCCCCGGGCCGGAGAGGCTGTCGGTGGAGGGGACCGGGGGTCCCGGGCCGAGCATGGCCGCTCCGGCAGCCCGTGGCTCAGCGCCCAGCCCTGCAGCACTGCCTGCGAGTCCATCGACTGACTCCTCCTCCGGGCCTCCCCCGTTGCGCTCCCGCCCGGCCGGAGGGCCAGCTCGCGGGCTCAAGCAACCATGGGGCACCATCTTCTCTGGAGGTTCTGACAGCGGGCTGCCCACGGCTTCGGACAAATTGGAGACCCTCTTGCCAACCACAGTGCCAAGCTGACCCCCATCCAGAAACATAACCATGTCCTTCCGGCTCTCCATCCCTGGGCTCTCCGGAGAGGGGGAGGGGGAAAGCCCCACGTAAGCTCCTAACCCCAGGCTTCCTGGGACCCCAGCGACCAGATAGATACTGGCTGCAAAAAGGAGCAAAAGAGGCCGGAAGACTAGGCGGGCGCGGAGCAGCCAAGCGCGGTGTAGACGGCGCTCGCGGAGGTGGCGGTGGGGAGCTAGGGTCACCTTGTGATGCGAGCGCTGGTCTGTGCCGCACCGCCTCTGGGAGGAAGCCCCATTGCCCTCTTCTTTCTAAGCTGTCATCCTCTTGCTGCAATCGTCATTACAGTACCGCTGGTGACGCCACTCGGCGAACGCTAGTGGATAAATAGAAACGTCTGCCACAGCGAAGATGAAAGGAGCCCGCAGCTAATGGCTCGGCAGTGATGCGCCAGGTGTGGGCCTCGCTCGAATGGGGAGGAGAGTGTGAAAACAGAGAGACACACACATTGAGAGAGGGAAACACCCAGGCAGAGAGGATGCAAATGGAATTCCGCAGAAAGAAAAGAGAGCGCTAAAGGCGCACAGCGAGTTCCATTGGGGCAGCGGGATTCGGTAATTAAAAGTGCTTTTGAATTTTTCTTTTATTATTGTTTTGACTTTTGTTTTCTTAATTTGGTGTCTTGATCTAACACTGATGAAAGATTCCATAACTGCATTTTGGAAGCGTTCAGGCCTGCTTACAAGCTCTGGTTTTCTGGGCATTAATACAACTGTCTGTCCCTGGCAGCTAACCTCAAACTGGCTCCAAAGTCTTTTTTTTTTTTTTTTTTTTACAAGCTACTGAAAAGGTATTACCCTCCCCCGCCACCAAGCTGTCTGGAGGGCTTGAGCCTGTGGTATACTTTCCTCCCTCTTCTCCCCCAACCCCATCTGTCTCCTTCCTTCTGAGAACCAAACTTTAATTTTCTTCCTCAAGGGACAAGAGATATTTTATTTTTCTTTGAAGACCAGTAATGAGTGCTGACTCAGTGTTCTATGATTTAAGAAAAACAAAATCTTCCTTCTCATCCAGATAGCCTGGCTTGCATTTGAGGTGTTCAATGATTTTGTTGTTTTTGTTAATTTTCCCTCCCTGTCTAGATGGCCTGGCTTGACTTCAGGTTGGCTCTTCATAGAAGAAATCCTATTTTGTTTGATCTGGCCTCCAGAGCACTTCAGGTATGTTGGGTGGAGAAAGGGTCTAGGAGTGGTCTTGTTTCTTTCCTTGCCTGTATGTTAAGGTATTCGTTCAGAGTCAACGAATTCTCTCAGAATCAGGTTTTTCCGATGAGGAAGTGCTGACAAACAGGGCCCCCAAGTGTGGCATCATTGAAGGGCCCCAACTGGGAAAAGGAATTAGTGTTCACTGTGAGTTTTAGGGCAGGGGTGAACTAAATGGCGGGCATGTGATTGTGGTCTGCAGAGATTGGACTTGCTGAGCGCTTCCCTGGACTCTGCCCAGATTCAATTGTCTGTGCCTCCAGAAGCTGAAGGTAGACTGAAAAAGTCGTTGAAAATGTCCCTCAAAAGCAAGTGACCAGGGACTCTGAATCTTTGAGGATGGAAGGTGAACTCCCAGTAGGTAGAGGAGTGGAATTTTGGAATTTGTGTTGGAGAGAGGCTACCAGATCCTCTGAGAGTGGGAATAGAATCCCCGTGGGGGCCTGGTAGGTAGGCTGTGGGTAGATGGGCTGGGTCTCTTTCCTGTTTGAGAGCTGAAGGTGGTGGTACCTTCTAGTCTCAACTCCTCACTCTCTGCCCTCCCACAAGTTTCTGGTCCTAAATGGCCAGCTCACCCCTAGCTGGAAAGGGTGGCTCCTGCACCCCCTCCTCCATGTCCCCAGGTAAAGCCATCTTTGTCTCTTATCTCCTATTTTTTTCTTTATTTCCACTTTCTCTCCCCCTTTCCCTAGTTTTCCTAACTTTGGGATTATGGAAATGATGGAGGAAGTGAGAGGTTCAGGAAAAGACAAAAAAAAAAAAAAAATCCTCTCTCCACTCCTTTCCACTTCTATCCCAGAGCAGTAAATGTTCATTAGCCTTTCTTGTGGACAGGGGCAGATGGACAAGGAGGGTAAGGTCCACATAAATATCTCCACCCACTAGGAGCCCTGAAGCCATCATCTGCTGAACACTGCCAGCCCAGAAAACTGGAGAAATATTTCGGAGGTCAACAAGGAGTGGTAAGAGTGGAAGAATGTGGATTCCAGAACCTTTTGCTGCCTTGAGGATGGTTTGGTGGATTCTAGCATGCCCTGCCTTTTCCCACTGACAGACAGAGCCTGAGAGAGCACCTGGCTTGCTCTCTCTTCTGTGGAAGCCCAGACACTTCAGTGTCTCAGCTGCAGTCAGTTCTCCTGCTGGCGCTCCAAGTCGGAACCCTCCAGCCCTAGGCCTGCTAGACACCCACTCTCCCTGTCCCCAGAGCTTACCAGCTTCTCACAGCCACCTAACCATCCACCCCCACTCCTTAGGGGCTGATCCCTAGAGTGACTCTGTGTTCCCCTGCCCCGCCCCCAGCTTTGCATTCAATGGGAATGTTCAGTGTTTGATCCTCTTTTCCTCTGGTTTTTCCCCAGAGATGAAAGCAGAGCAGGCTTGTGAGATCAAGGGGTGCCACTTAGTCTCCTTCCGGGGTCGGCCTGATGGAGGAGGGCTTCCCCTTGCATCCTCAGGAGGGGACTCAGACTCTCGGAAGGGGGCTGCCTCCTTTAAACTCCAAAATCTGAGCTTGGGGACATCCTTTTTCACCCCCTCGGGCCCCTCCAGACTAAAGCCCAATCTTTTAAAGCAGCCTCTGTTTATTTAGTCTTTTGGAGCCTACTGAACCCCCGAGGTGCTTAAGGGGGAAAAACCCAACTAAACATCACTTCTAAAATCAGCCTTTATCTCCATCATCAAATGAAAAGATTTCAGATGTTTAATGGACAGAAGAAAAGACAGTGCTGAATAAGAACGGTTTCGTTTTGGGTTTTGCTGCATGAGAAGTATGTTTTAATAGTCATTATCGTTGTATTATGGTGGTTATTCACCGAACAGTGGAAGAAGAAAGAAAATTCCGTTAGCGCGTGAAGCCTGGGTAACCTCTCAAAAACAAAAACAACGAAGGGTGACAGCAGCCAAAGTGGGATCTAGCGGGTCCGGGAGCATCTCACTCCCCCGCTGCCCCGCGGAGCCAGCAGTGCCTCCCCCAGCTGGGGCGACAGGCTCAGGTCCCGCCGGCTCCTCACTGACTGAAATTCCCTGAACTTCAAAAGCTCCCGGCTCTGCTTCCGCCGACTAGGCGGGGCGGAGGGTGGGTGGGAATCCCTGGAAAGGACTGGAGATAAGATGCGCCGGTCGTTTTAAATGGAATCAGAAGCCCGGATTGGACCACCAGACGGTGGAGCTTTGCTTAGCAAGAAAACCTGCTCTGAACAGCGGCGGCGGCGGTGGCACGGGTCGGGCTTCCTGGGTGACCTGAGCGCATCTGTGGCGGTCAGCACTTCCCCCGCCTGGAGCGCAGCCTTCCTGCCACAGGCGTGCGCTCCTGTGAGAGGCAAGGGGTGGCAGTCCTGGGACCACGACCAGGGGCTGGTTTGGCTGCTTCATGCAGGCTAAAATTTGATCAGGAAAAAAAAGTTTTGCTTCTTTTTGATCAAACGGGAACAAAGAGCGCATCTTTCTAAACAGCGAGAGTCGCCCGGGTGCCATAGATACTGTCCTCTGGCTCTCAGTGACCTTCCAGCCTGTGGCAGAACTATTGCCATCCAAGTTCCTGTGAGACTGCAGCTCGGAAGCCAGAACAACATGGTGGGCAGTGGCGGGGGGCTGTGTCTATCAGTCAGCCCCACTTCCACCATAGCTTCTGAAGCTTCTCTGGGAAACCAGTGTCACTGTGTGGTGCACCCTTTCAGACTGCATGAACCCAGGGATCAAAGCTGTACTACTTCACAGTTCCTCTTCCACCCTGCACTGGACAGTGGAGTCTGCAGAGGGAGGTGGTGACAGTGTAGGCTTCAGCAGCAGGCTACAAAAAACAGCTTCTCTCTAAGGATGGTGAAACTTGTGGCTTCTAGAACTCCGGTTTGGATAAGTGCTACTTGCCTCAGCACCTTGCAGAGTAAAAGTCTGAGATAGGAAGCTGGATGCTTTCTGTGAGCTCGCGCGCGCGCGCGCGCGCGCACACACACACACACACACTCGGATACTCCTCAGGTCTCCAAAGTCCTGCCTCTTCTGCTTCTATGCCTGTCTACCCAGGCTCCTGAGGTGGCTTTCTGACACTTCTGCCAATACCTGCCTAGCAGCCCATACCCTTCACTCACCACACTGCTGCACTGGCAGCAATCTAGAATCAAAGGATATAGGGCAGGACTAAGACCTGAGGCCTTTCCCTAGTTGATGCTTTTCCCTCCCTCAAATCAAAGACTTGATGGGTGAGTGAAGTTTGTTCCCATTCAAAGGAGTTCTCCAACACCTCCACTTAGGAAAAATGGGATAGCTCCCTGTCCCGCCCTAACAGAAGTATCAAGGCCTCTTCTTTAATAGTTGATGCTGTGACATTTGTTTTCATTACTAAGTGAATTGACATCCATGTCTCATTTAATCTACATCAGAGTCATTTAAAGGGCTTTGATAGTCTACAGTGTCTTTTCTCCCCCAGTTGTAGGGTGACCAGTGGTCCTGACAAATGATCATGGAATGGTTGAGTGTAGGGCCCAGTCTTAGTCTCCATTCCTGTCTGTCCTTCAGGAATTCCTCATGCATTAACAATGCCTCCATTCCTTGTGAGGTAACACTCCCCAAAGTCTTCCCCTTACTGGGAGACTGCCAGGTCTGCAGCCCTCAGCCTGTCCTTCCTTCCCACATAGAGGATTAGACCTCAGCCACCCTTCTCCAACACACATCTTTCCCCAGGAGGACAAAGAGGCCCATGTGATAAGAACAACCACTGTTCTAAGCATTTTATGTGGCTCAGTGCTTTCCAACCCCAGCAGGTATGGGAGGAGATGGTAAGAATCATCCCTATGTTGCAGCCAAGAAACCTGAATCAGGAAGTACATATACCAGTGAGAGGACTCAATGCCCCTCCCTCTGATGTGAAGTCCACTCTCAAAACAGCCTGAGACTAGGGGAGGGGGTGTGTCTGTGGTAGAACACTTGCCGGGCATGTTTGAGGCCCTAGATTTCAAAAGGAACCAGGCATTGGATTCTGTGGCTTTCTTCTGAAAAGTCAGCTTATGGGTTTTGCCAAAGCCCTCTCTTTCACCTCACTCCAGGTCAACTCAAAAGGAGGAACAATGAAATTCTAGCCACTTTTCTTGGGTCTGAAGGGGAGTAAAGAGGAAAAAGCTGCAAACCA